CTACTTCCCATATCTGCCGCGTTCACTGTCACCGGGTGTAGTCCTCACAGATAAACTCCTCCGAAGGCCTTTGGGAGGCAGATTTGCCTGAGAGTGGAAACATGATGTTTTTAATTCCACCTTTTATTAATTATTTAATACTAAATAGACAGTAATTATAAAATAGAGTTATTTAAAACACGTTTCTTCTTCTTGTTTTTGAATTTTTTTTAATTTGTGTTGTTCAAAAACAAAGAAGTAATTTTTGATCATGTCTTTTTGTTATAGCAAATAACATAAATCAAACTGACATAGTTTTGATAATACAGGACATTTTTTTTACCTTTATCAGAGAATGGTGAGAGAATAGTAGTTTATAGTGAGGAGCATGTTATACTTCTTAACACCTGCTGTGTTTGTCAGTGTTTAATTGCTAAATTAGAGAAGGTAAAATTGTGAGAAATCTCTTTGCTTCTGGTCAATCACTGCACAATATGAACTGTGGGTGAACTACAAAAAACTAGTTTTGAGCTCCGAAAAAAAGTTTTTTCAGGACTCTGTGTAATCCCGTGTAATCCTAAATACACCCTATGATTTAATAGCTTGTAGAATCAGCTTCAGCAGCCTCAACTTGAAGTAATCTTTTTCTGTATGATTATTAATCTCTCCCATCGATAGGGAGGGATTTTGTGCCACTCTTCTTTCTAAAATTGCTTTAGATTATTAAAAATTGGGGATTCTGCCACAAGATTTCAATCAGGTCAACGTCTGGATTTTAACTGGACCACTGCAGCACACTGATACTTTGAGATTTGCTGCTGTGCTTAGGATCCTGTATCTGTAGGATCACCCCTCCACCGCCATGCTTTGAGATATTCAAGTAGACCCTCTCTGCTTCCTCAATTTCACCAGGTTCTATTATATGATGCAACGTGTCTTAAACTCAAACTGAGATAGCCCTAATGACACATAACAAGTGACATAATCTGGGTTATTTTTCAATCATTACAAAAGCTCCCACCAAAACCAGTGCAAATATTATGCATTTAAGTCTGAAATTTATGAATTACCCTTTATAAATATCCCTTATTAAATGTGCAACAATTCAAGACTGACTTAAGGAAACAGCTCTCATAGGCGTTTCTAAATTCTGTCATGAATGTAATATGTTTATGTTGGCACACATTTGGTTCTGGCTTATTTAAAACATACATGTGACAAGCAGAGCAGAGAGGAAAATATAATCTGTCCTCTGTAAGCTGCAGCAGCAACAGCTCTGTCCACTCTCTCTGCATTACTGAGCACATTCAAGAAGCCAACCAACCTGGCCCAGCTCCATCACACATGAGGCGGGGAAATAACCTCGCTGCCCATTCTGCAGCTGCCCAAACCACCTCCCTTCCTCGTGTTTGGACAGCACCAGGGTGACGTCACCTGGAGACAGCTCCAGCTCGTCAGGCCAGTGGGGGCTGTACCTGTGCACCACTACCATCTAATGGACAAAAGGAGAATTACAATAATTTAAACTCTAAATTGAATATTCAATATTGCAAGATTAAAATTCAATGCTAAATTTATGTTAGGGCAGAACTTATTCATGATCAGCGTCCAGCTCCTTTTTTTTACAGCCTGCAGGTCAGAGTCGGTGAATGGAAAGGATTACGTGTGAAGACTTGGATTAGTTGTTATTTAGTGTAATAGTAACTCTTAATCAGGGTTTACCCTTCATTATGTTACAACTGAATATTATGTGAGAGAAATTGGAAAACTAAATGCGTAGTTTTGCAGGAAACTGATTAAATTGATGCAATGTCACATTCATATCCATTAGTCTTTGACATATATAAGCATACATAAATCTGTGAATTTAAATATCAGTGCAGTTAAATATGCAGATTTCTGTTGATGAAAATTAAGAAAAAAGTGAACTTGCCTTTTCAGCTTCTGCTCTGTATCGATACCTCCCTGTTTATCACCGAGAGCAGAAATGAATCAGCAAAAAAGGGTTATTTTCAACATTCTTCATTAATATGCAAATGTGCATAAGAAGACCTCGACATTAATGCGCGCACATAAACATCTGTGCAGTTAAATCTTTATGTAAGCTGTCCAGAAGGAGGGAAAACAAGGCATTTATCGGTCAGCTGGCACTGGGCTTGCTCTTGCTAACCACATAAATAATGTCCTGCTAAGCCACACTTCCCTGCAGATATGATTCCACTCACCTTGTGGAGCAAGGACAGTGGTGAAAACCTCAAAGTGTTCATTGCTGTGCATGTAGATGCGCTGCATCTTGAAGATCGGACGCTCTCACACTGTCCGGGACTGCTGAGCTCTCTCTGCAATACCTTAAATAAATGCAGCAGACTAATCCACTGCAGCACAGACTGGAGGTGGACACACACACACACACACAGACAGAGACACACATACACGTGACCAGGGACGACTAAAATCTTAGTTTATGTCAGAAAATGTATGATTGTTAGAATTTTCTTATCACCTGACACCAATGCTTTTTATTTTGGAATAAGAGGCGGCATCTTTCTCATATATCATGCTTGACCACTCCATCTTGCTGCCAATGTCTATTGTTCTTTGACCATCTGGCCACATGCAAAAGAAGTTTAGAGGCCACTGCTTGCTCAGATGTGAATGAGAATTCATAATTTCACCTCATCAGGAGTGCTTGATTGATTATTGGCTGTGCCCCACTTTCCTGTGGCCTGGGTGAGCAGGGACAAAGATGATAGGGCTGGGGACAGAGTGCCCGACCGCTCAACAGATGGTGATTGAAACCCCACCACCGCCTCCCCTCTCCAGCTCTGGTGCGAAGGCGCTTGGCTGCGAGCTTGCATTAGTGATAAAAAAGGCATCCATCACTAAGATGAGAGATGACTCAGCTGGAGCTGGACAGAGCACCCCGCAGCCTTGGCGACAAAGTGAGGATACAGTACATGCAGAAGGATTTGACTTTTTGTTCTTCTAGACAATCCAAATAGAAATTCTGCGTAGTCAATTTTCACAAATTATTACAATCAGTGTCAACAGGAAATAAGGTTGTCAGGGGATCACGGATTATCTAGGTGAACAGAGCAAGAGGTGCGTTTGTGTGCCGTCTGAAAGTGGAAACACCTCTAAATGCAGGAGACTAATAAATCTCATTATCTGAGGCCTTGGCAGTCCAGGAAAATGTCTGACTAGACTGCAACCACTCTGGCTCCAAGACCAATCTCTTTCAAAAGGGTGAAGACCGTGGAAATACACACCTCAATACCACCACAAAAGAAAGACGTGCTCAACTGGATGAGAGAAAAATCCCACTCACAGTTTGCTTTGTGTTGTGTTTAAATGTACTTAAGTTGCAGATTCTGGCTTTGTGAGCTATCTGTTACACTATACACTGCTCCTAATTCAGAACGATGGCTCCGGTCTAGACATCAAGGCCAAACCGAAGCCCTTACATAACCAACAAAACCACCGCTAAGCTGCTAAGAAATCCAATCTGATGCTTCTCGGAAGAAGAAAACTGATGAACACTGAACAGCTCAGAGTCTGTAAAGACAATCTGCGGCAGCTTAAAAAATATATTCTGAGCATAAAAACCTCTCTGCTGTTACATGAATAATACATCTGATCTGATGCCGACATGCATTTACTGGCTGCAGCTTGTTGCTGCAGTTAACCAGCCTCATTTAATATGAATGGGAAGCTTTGAAGCTATTCCCCGAGACCATGTAAATTAGTTAACAAGTATGTATAAAAACACCTTTTTGAATGTTTCCATTAAATATCCCTGGGAGCATTGGGCCGTTGTAGGCTACATTTTTATCTAGCCAAAATGTGCGGCACCAATTTTTCCCCCATATTCTTTCAGAAAATACACCTTATATTACTAAATACACACAAGCAAATTATTAAATACACCATAAGAGGTATTGTTGCACATTACCAACCCTGGCTGAGTTGTTCTTAGCTACTGCATGGCTTTTTATGCACTCTCATATTCTGACATGCATATATGTTCATATCCAGGAGCAGAAAATTCACCTATTAACTCCATTGTTTTTACGATAAATTGAAATAATGATGAACATGCATATTGTTGTACTACTTTGCTGCTGCGTTGGTGAAATGTTCCACAAACTAATTCTAATAAATCAGAATTAGTTTGTGGATAAGTTTATAAAAGTATGCTGTAGATATAAACACCCTTGTAATACTTACACTACATGCGCAAAGCTGCAGCAGCTGCCACGAAGCTCCCACTGCAGTTTTTCTGCGGATGTTAATGCCAGATGAAGGTTGGAGGTCTGCTGTTATTGAGTCAGCAGAGCACCTCAGTGACCTTAACTTCACACAGAGTTCCTGTGGTTCCTAAACACTTTCAGGGAACAACCCACTCTTTCAAAAATGTTTGTAAAGACAGATGCCAGATGGACTTTTCTCCATACAGTCTAATTGGCTAGTAAACAAAGCTAAGCAGCAGTGGGAACATATGGAAGCTTGTTTCTGCCAATGAAAAAACAGCTTTTTCTGTCATCCATATCTCAAAATTTAAAGTTAATAAGTTACCAAGTTGATAACCTGTATTTTGGCTTATGGATGGCACATTTTTGTTCTTTTTTCAATTGGAGCAAGAAGCTTCCAAAGAAACGAGTTGATGCAGAGAGCAAGCTAATTAGTTTGACATGATTAGCCACAATCACATGAAAAGCTTCCTTTGAGTAACACTTTTTTAATCATTCAGCAGCAAACCTTTATGATTTATAGGAAATTATCTCTTGACCTCCTGGCTACAGATAAATGTGGGTCCCTGAGCCCATTTTAAAGAATTTATTTTATTTTATTTTTTTTATATCAAGTAGTGCTTATAATCCCAATTTGTTTTGCACAAACACTCTGGTTTTATTAGTACTATTAAAGTATTTCCCTAAAGTTACATAAACTACATTAAACTTCTGTTAAAACTTTGTAAATCATATGAAAACGTAATGAAATTAAAAATTAGAAGTCAAATATTTTGAATGTATATATAGAGTTTACAAAGTAATATGTAAAGGGTAACAAAAATAGCCTTAAAAACAACCTATTTTCAAATATGTCTCATTTATCAAGGATCTAAAACGCTTTACGATACTTAACGTAACCATTTCAGACTTGAAGCATCAATTTAATCACACAGAACTAAAAAATAACTTCTGCAATAATTAAAGACAGAAAAACAAGTCGCTCGTGTTCTACTCGGCTGTAATATTAAAGTATATTTGTGAATTTTTTTCATGAATATTACACATACATCGAAAAGAATCATCATGGATGCTGCGGTCAAAATGTACAGTAAACATAGTTTACATAGATGGAGGGAGCATCCCACCCGTGGGCCACAGGTAAACCAGATGTTCTGTTCATATTGCATTATGAATGTTCAACACTTTGATGCCAAGGCAGGCACACACACACCCACACACATGAAGACACAAAAGTCCTCAGCGCTTCCCAGGTTTGCCTCTTCTCTTCCCTCCTCCCCCTCCAGCTGCTTTCTTTCCTTTCCCACCTTTTCCTCTGGGCTTTCCACCCATGCTGCCGCCTTTACGTCCCTTCTTCCCTGCTGCCTTCTTGTGTTTTGCAGCAGCCTCCTCTCTGTCCTCCTGCCTCATCTGTTTATTCACAGCTTTGGTGATGTCCAACTTGGGCTTCTTAGTGTCCATGACTTTCAGGAGCTCCAGCTGCTTCTGCTTTTCATTAGAAAAGTTGCCAATGAGGGGCTCGAATTTCCTCTTCTTGCCCTTCTTTGCTGGGTTCTCCTTGGGCAGGCGGTCCTGAAACCTTCCCAAGGATGCTGTGGAGGTTTTGGCCACACTTTCGGCTCTGGCCAGCTCGTCTTTGGACTGGCTGGCTTTGGGGGTCAGGGTTATAGCAGGGATCTTGACTTTCTGCGATCTGGCGATGTTTTTCAGCCTGTTGAGCTCGTTTTTGGCCACCCTCTCCTTCTTGGCTTTGACTCGTTTGGCGAACTGGTCCTCATTCGGGTCTGCGCTCTCGGGCACCTCGATCAGCCACTCTTTGGTGTCATCGCCGGCCCTCTTGTAGCCCCAGCGCCTCTTCCACTCCTTTGCGGTTTCATCCCACACCAGGTTGGTCTTCTTCTTCTTCTTTATGCCTTTCAGCTTAGCGAACTGCTCCCATTTTGTTGGAGGTCTGGGTTTCGGTGGTAGCTTCTCTCTGGGCAGCCGGGTCGTCGGCTCCGGCAGTTTGGCCACTATCGCCTCCTCGACCCTCTCCGTGGGCTGTTTCCATATTTCGTTGACGAGAAGCTGCGTGTTGTCGCGAGCGAGAGCACGCAGAAAGTCCTCTTTGCTCTTCTCCCGGAGGTCGCGAGGCTCGATGCGGTTTTTGTCACACGCCAGCAGGTTCCCGATGTCAAACTCCAGGTCCAGCTCTTTCTGGACTGATATGCTTTTCAGCGTTTCCGCCTCTTGCGCCTCAGCTTTAGCCAACAACTCCTCTACACTGCACGCTGCCATGTTGCTCAGTGCTGCAACCCCCACGTGTGAGGCAGGAAAAACACACGGGTCAGTGAAAAGTGCTTCCGGGTCAAAGTCGGCGAGCTGCAGTTTGACACGTGACCACAGGAGTGCGCTGTCGTTTCATTTCTTTGCGTAACAGCGACACACAGATACAACAGATAGACGGTATCTGAAAGTCATGTCCTCAAGAGACAGGAAGAAAAATCCACAAAGACCTGATACTGGAGCCGAGAGATGGATCTGGCCCGTCATGTGATCCATTTAGTGTTCACTGAAGCCTCACCAGAAATGGTCTCAGTGGAAGGGTGGCTGTCAAGAAGCTGTTCTTAAGGAAGGGAAGCAGGGAGAAAAGGCTGAAGCATGCCAAATTACACAAGAACTGGACTGAAAATCGGTGGCAGCAAATCTGATGGAGTGATGAATTCAAATATGACGTTTTTGGTTCAGATTCTCATCAATATGCAGGAAGGTCGTCAGGAGAGAGGCACGACAGTGAGTGTCTACAGTTATTTGTAAAACACAGTGGAGGCTCTGTCATGGTTTGGAGCTGCATTTCATCCAGTGGTGTTGGAGATCTTGTCAAAAGTGATGAATTGTGACCTCAGTGGCATCAGATACCGATCCACCATCTAGAAATTGTCCAATTAGCAACATCTTCATTTTTCAGCATGACAATGAAACCAAACACACTGTCATTTCAGTAAAAGCATACGTGGATAGAAAAAATGGATTGAAAATGGAGTACAAACTCAATCTTTGCTCTTATATGCTGTATATACATGTATTTATATATATTTGCACATGCTTCAGTAAATCACTCTGCCAATTCCCTTTTTTTCAAGCAAAATATAAAGAAATGAGAAGTGGCACATGGACTTTTTCTCATCACTCTATACAAAAATGATCCACATGTAAAAATGATCTGTCTTTAACAATAAAAGCATTTCCAAAATTAAAAAGTCTAAAGGTGTTTTTTTAAAATTGGCATGTGCATAGTGTGAAATAACAAAACAAACTAAACTAAACTAAACAAAACAAAACAAACCCATCTGAGGTTCTATAATGTTCTTGTTTTACGTAAAAATACATTTATTTTCTATAGAAATTACATTGAATTGACAAGAAATGGTGTAAATGAAAATTAATGGAGTCATTCATAGTAAATCATTCATGATTTTAATGGATTATCTATACATAGGCACAAAAGTGTCTATTATTAGCAGTCATTCCTGTGTTTCAGTTAAACACTGTGTTACCCAATGAAAATTTATTGGGGGCTAATTTATGTTAGCATACTTGAAAATGTTCCTGCTGTTTTTGAGCACCGCATTTGTTAAATCACATGTGTGGAGGGTTGGAGGGGGTCTAACCTTAGAAAAAAAGAAGTGGGAGACCCTGGTGTCTCAGCTAAGATCATCAGATTACATCAGAACCTTGACTCTGAGTCACCTTGCAGCTCCAACTCCACCAGGTTTCTCCAGGTTTCTATATTGTGTTTTCTGTATATCTCATGTGCTTATGTTTTGCTGTCCCAAGTTTAGCTTTTTGTTAGTTTTTTCAGTTCCCCTTCACTCGTTGTTTTGTAGTATTTTCATGCAGCCAAGAATAAAGGCTGGCTATCTATTAAACTCTCGCCTATCTCGCTGTTTGTCTGCCTTGGGTCCACTCTCTCTTCTCCACACAATCTGCCCTTGCAAAAAATCTGACCACACTATGGACCCAGCAGACATGGACCTGTATGAGCGCCACCAACCGCTCAACCGCCTGTGGCTGCCACGTCGGGCCGC